ACTTAATCTATTAATAAAGTTTATTGGAGCAAGACTCCGTTGGATATAAAAAAAAAAAAAAAAAAAAAAAAAAAAAACATGTATAATTTGAATGTTTTGTTCATATAGTGTAAGTGTACTAGAATGTCTCTATATAATTCTGAATATTATAATTTAAAGTTTTTTATTTATTTAATTTTTTTTGATAAAGAAAGAAAATAGATTCTTTTTCTCTTGTTACAAAAAAATTTTTTTTTGTACCTTGTGATTTTCAAACTTGTGAAATTTCTATATTGTACTTTTAAATGTTGCACAATTTCCATATAGTACTCTCAAATTTGCACAATTTCCATATAGTATTTTTAAATGTTGTACATATACTTGCATCTATCATAGTAAGTCAAAATATTTTGGAATCCAAAAGTTGAAATAGTTTTTCATAGAAGACAAAATTATTTCATATAGAAGACAAAATTTTTTAAAACTTGATTTCTATTCTTTGATTAAAAATACACTTAACTAGGTACTTTTTTTACTTCCATATATAGACTAGATTTTGCATAAAGTTTGAGGAAACAAAATATATCAAAAATCCAAAATCAATTTTGGGAACATGTATAGTTGTGCAATTTCCATATAGTACTTTCAAACTTGTGCAATTTTCATATTATACTTCATGCAAGGGTATATATATAAAATTAACTGAGATTTTTTAGGCATTGAGGGAAATGATTTTAAAAAACTATGGATTCATTCCAAATGACCCAAAATGTAAATTCTTATTTTGAGAACCAAAAGAAACCAAAGAAGATTGACATTCTTTCCTTTTATTCATTATTCAATGTGCAATTAGAGGTGTTTTAATAATTTTCTAGGATCTCGAAAAAGTATTATAATTATTATCAGCGGATTCTTATGATTCTTGAAGGTTTGATGTTAAATTCTATAATTCAAAACTACCCGAATGATTTTTTTTTTAATAAATAATTTTTAATTTAAAAATAAATTATTATATTTACCGAGAATTAGGATATATAAACTTATCGTTAACAATTTCAATACATTTTTTTAAGATTTAAGATTATAATTGGTTCATAATATAATAATAGTTACCATTCACACAAAAAAGTGAATAAATAAAATGTTTATTACACTTTATTTATTCGGAAAAAAAAAATAACTTGCATATTATTATGTCATAAGTTCATACAATGTGAATAGCGTCTCCGAAATTCGAAGAAATTGCCTTTTACATCTTTTTAATGCATAGATCTTATTGTAATTTACTATTCTGTTTTTCCGAAAATGTAAACTTGGTTGCTCAATTATAGGGTTAGGATTCAATAATAATAATATTTGTAAAAATATTATAAAATAATAAATTCTCATGTCATAAATGCGATTTGTGCATGCTAAAAACAACTTGCAATTTTGAATGTAATTTATGTTTCCTTTTTTTTTTTAAAAAAAAAAAATTTTTTTGCCTAAAAAGAATGGAATTCAATATATGCCCAGAATGTAATCAAGTAAAAGGATATAGATGGTGCAAACCATGTAACTCGAAACATTTCCAAAATGATTTTAATAATTGGACAAGTGGAAATGACGAAATAGACAAGTTCATTCAAGATGCTCAACTAAATGCTAATAATCGTTGGGAAGTAATAGAATGGATACCTTATGATGGATTTAAAGATGTTAAACAAATAGATAGAGGTGGATTTGGAACAATACATTATGCTAGATGGATTGATGGACGAATTGACAGAAAATCAACAATGGAAAGATGTCGTTGTCGTAAATATGAAGATGAAGTAGTAGAAGTGGCATTAAAAAAGTTTGATAATTTTGTGAATTTAAACGATGTCTTAAATGAAGTAAAATATTTTAATTAATATTTAAATTTAATTTTCATATTATTATATAACTTTTTAACTATAAATTAAAAATGTTTATATTATTAGATGACAATTCATTTAAAAGCAGCAGAAAGTGGTATGCTTCCTTCAATTCAATTTTATGGAATTACACAAGATCCAGAAACACAAATATATGATGGTTTTAGATTATGCAAAAGGCGTTAATCTTCGAGAATATTTAAAAATTAATTTTAATAATATTAACTGGAAACAAAAATTACATCACCTATACAATTTATCTTCAAATTTGATGAATATTCATGAATTAGATATAGTTCACCAAGACTACCATCCTGGAAATATTTTATCAAAGGTACTATACAGATTTCAGATTTTGGATTAAGTAAACTAATAGGAGCAAATCAAAATAGTTCCGAAAAGAAAAAAATATTTGGTGTATTACCATATATTGCTCCAGAGGTATTAAGTGGTGGTGAAGAATATACAAAAGCTGCTGATTCATTTGGGATTATTGCTTACGAAATAGTTACGGGCTTTCCTCCATATCCTGATATACCACATGATAAGATTTAGCCATGAAAATATGTAATGGATTACCACCAAAAATTCCATTCATACTCCAAAATTAATTACAAGAACAATTATGAGGTGTTGGGATGCTCGAGTTACACTTTTGAAGAATTATTTGATGAGTTGAGGAACTACTATTATGGTTATAATAATTATTTAAAAAAAGGGAAAAATAAAGATTCAGAAATTGGAATTCAAATTAAAAAAGCCGAAGAATTTTCAGCAAATCAAATACAATAACCACAACAACTGCAACTCTTCTTAATTATCAAACACATCCAAACGCAATTTATACCAGTCGACTTCTTAATTATTCAAATCTTCCAAAACCCAAGAATGAAGAAAATTTCGAAAGGGAACTTGAAGAATTAACTAAATCTATGTCTGATTTATGCCCTGGTAAATATTGTTATATTTATATTTATTTATATATGAATTATATATTTTTATAATAAATTATATTAATTTATTTTTATTTTATTTAGGCGATTCTGGAATAATTTTTAAATTTTATTTGACATTATATATTTTTATTTGTATTTTATTTATTAAATTATAAAGCACCATTTATTGGTTTTTTTTTTTTTGATATTATAAAATCTTAACACTAAGCATAGAGTATGAATTCTTCATCCCATTTGTACAAATTCAATTAACTTATTTTGTAATTTCGATTTTTATAAAGATAGGAAAATAATAATAAAGGAATTATAAATTTTTCACAAAATAGACTAGAAGTGTTATTTCAATATGCCTTTATACATATTACGACGATGTAACATTTATTGAAAGATTAAATGTTAAATTTTTATTTATATTAAATCTTTAAAATATTGTATCCAACTTTTTTTTCAAAAATTATTTATAATATAATAAAAACATAAAGAAATAAAAAAATAAAAAAAGACAGGAATCATAAGACTATTCTTTTTAATGCGCATTTTTTAAAGTGGTAAAATTTATTCTTAAATGTCCATATTATATTTAAATATTAATTTAAATGTCTATAAATGTAAAGCTGCGTGGTGATTCTTAGAATGCATAGAAATCTTGGGAATGAATTTAATAATTTCAATTAAAAAGATATAATTCATATAAAAAATAGTATTTTATGGAAAACTCGTTTTACATTAATATTTTTAACTTGAATTATCAAGAAGTGATATCATGAATCATTAATATTATTAATAGGAAGATAAAATACAGATGAGAAAAGAAAGAATCAATAGTGTTCATGTTTATATTTGATTTATTTATTCTATTAAATAATAAAAACAACGAAACAATGAAGCAACGAAACACCTCACTGAAGAACTTTAGCAACAAAAGTTTATATTTATTTCACTTCATAATTATTTCATGAAAAATAAACATGTTTCGTAAAACTACAATTTAGTGTTTATTAAGTCGTAGGTAATAAATCAATTCGTATGTACAGTACAAGGATATCTTTTTCTAATGCTACAGATTATTTTCATTTTCAATTATCAGAAGTAACAGTATTATTATTGTAGTTTTTATTATTGATAGGTGAGAAAGGTTCAATAGTGCTGAATCAAACCAAAGCTTTGGTGATTGAGAAGAAGTTTAAATAGTTTAAATGATATTACAAATATTGTTGTTATGGGATAAACCATTGTTACTGTCATTACTATTATTATCGTATAATTGTTGTTAATTTGATTAGATAATTATCAATTCCTAGGAGGTATTTATAGAGGTGTTTAATAACATTCAATACTATTAAATTTATTATTATTGGGAGAAGTAGAAGATGTAGTAGAAAAGGGAATTTAGATAAGAAAAGGTAAATTAATTAAATTAAGAGAATCAATTGAATTAAGTAAATTAAGGATGGGTGAATTGAATGGAGAAAGTGAAGGAAAAGAAAAAGAAAATTGAATTGTAGATTTCAATGACCAATCAAATTTTATTAAAATGTTCATTGATTATCGTTTATTCGATATCAAAAAAAAAAATGAAATTTATAATTGATTACCTTTAATAATTATTGTAATTATTTGATCGTAATTAATTGTGTAATTACTTGATTAATTAAATAATTATAATTCTTTAATCTTTTATAAATAATGGCAAGTTATTTACGTAACATATTTCTAAGATCCACCACTACACCTTCTTCTCAGAAAAAAATTCTTCCACCTATAAAGGATTTAGAGTTACGACAAACAGCCCTGAAAGCGTATGGGCAAAAATATGTTTCGGAAAGGAATCATTCTTTTACTCGGTTGGCTTTACTTGGTGATAGTTTATTGGGATATCATGGTATAATTTATTATTATTATTATTATTATTATTATTATAAATTATTATTATTAAAATTATTTCATTAAAAATTATTATCATTAAAATTTATTATCATCAATTTTAAAATTATTATTTATTATCATTAAAAAGTTTATTATTATTATTTTATTTAAAAAATTTTGCAAAAGAAATAAATTTTAAATTTAAAAAAAAAAAACGAAATGAAAAATTGAAATTATTATTATTATTTTTTTTTTTAAAAAAAAATGTAGTTGCTCATCACCTTCATCAAAAATTTCCATATTACAATAATGGACAAATTACCGCCTGTCGAGCGATGCTAGTTTGTAGTTATCAATTAAATTATTTCGCAATTGAATGGGGACTTGATCGAATGATGAATGTCGATTTTAAATTGACGAGATCAAATACTAGAATATTAGGTGAAGCACTTGAAGCATATATTGGAGCTTATTACTTAGATGCCTGTACACTATATGGAGATAGCGATGGTCATATGAAGGTGAGAGATTTATGCATCGAGCTGGTGGATCCTTTACTTGAACAGATGATGAAAACGTGGAAAGTATGAAGTCTCGATCTCAAATATATTTATATATTTTTTTTCTCTTCCTCTTTCTTTCTTGTGTTCGAATAATGAAAATCGTGAAAACCATTTGATATTTATTTCTTTTATTTATTTATTTATTTTCAAATTGGATCAAAAGTAATCTGTTTATTGAATTGCAAAAAATTGTTTGTTGACTATTTATATTATTATTGCAAGCAGTATATTTTGCATACGTATCAATGAAGCAATTCAGAGCAAGAAAGTACAATTAAAGCTTCAGAGAATTGTAAGGATTTATATTTACATTCTTCACATATTTTTATATTTTATTATATTTACATCTTCTTATATTTATATTTTATACATGTTCGAATTTCATAAATTAAAATATTAAATAGAAAGAAGCTCATGCTGAAATTTTGGAAAATTTGACAAAAAAGAGGAAGAATAATAATAAGAATAATAATAATAAAAATAATAAAAAAAATAATAATAATATAAAAGGTAAGTTTAAAAATTTGAGAAATATAAGAAATAAATAATTAATTATTCTTATTAAAATAATTCTACTGTAATCTTTGATATTTTTAGATCTCGCTACCACCGAAATAAAAAAAGTAAAAAAAGAGGCACAAGCGACTAAAAAAACCGCCAAACAAGCTAAAGCTTCTGAAACGAAGAATAATGTACAAAATGTTATTAATGTTGTTAAAGATGTTAAGGATGGTAAAAAAGTGGCTCAAAAAAATGAATTAGAAAAAAAACCAGTAGCAATAAAAGAAACGAAAGAAACAAAAGTAATCAAAGAGATAAAAGAAACTAAAGCAACAAAAACTGTGGTAGTAGAATCTTCTTCTAAATTACCATCATCAACTCTTCAAGTTGCGAAAGTTGCAGTTAATAATAATAATAATTATAAACCTGCACCATCAACTACTATCACTACCACTGCACCACATATCATAGCCCAATCATCAAAAGGACCAAAAGAAACAAAAGAATTAAAGGGAACAAAAGAATCAAAGGAATCAAAAGGAACAAAGGAAATAGTTAATCCAGCGAAAACAATAGTTGTATCAACAAAACAATCGAAAGTTATTCCAAAAGATAATAAAGTTACGCAAAAGGACAATAAAGTTATACCAAAAGAAAATAAAGTTACGCCAAAAGAAAATAAAGCTATACCAAAAGACAGTAAAGTTATACCCAAGGACAATAAAGTTACACAAATGGATTATAAAGATGTTCCAACAAATTTTAAGGATTATAAAGCTACTCAAAAGCATAATATTAAGGCCACGCAAAAGGACAATAATAAAGTTATACCAAAGAATAAAATTTCACAAAGTAATAAACCAGCACAAACAAAAACGATAACAGCGGCAGCAACAGCAACCACTACCACTATCACCGCCCCGAAAAATATAACTCAAAAAATAACCCAAAACGCTACTCAAAAAATGGCTCAAAATGCAACCCAAAAAATAACTCAAAATACGATTCAAGATATAAATCGGTCAAAAGAGAAAAAAGCGAACGAAAGAACAATAATTGTTATTTCAACAAAACCATTTAAATTTGATACGCCACCAAAAGCGAAAGTTATGATCAAACCTACACTTGCTACTACTTCTATCCAGACTACTATTCGGACTGTTCCTCAGACTTCTAATACCTCTACTCAGAATACTCGAGCTGCTACCCAGACTACTGCTCAGACTTCTACTACTTCTGCTACTCGAACTGCTACTCAGGTTACTACTATTTCTACTCAGAATGTTACTCGGACTTCTACCCAGACTCCTATTCGGACTCCTACTCGGACCCCTACTCAGACTGCTGCTGCTACAAAAAAAGTAACAAATACTGTATCCTCCTCATCAACAGCAACAAAAAAACGAATTAATAATAATAATGTAACAATTAATAGTGGTAGTAGTAAACCATCATCATCTTCCATGAAATTAGAAAATATTCCACAATCTCCTCCTTTAACACCACCAATTACTTTAAATGCTACTATTGCTGCTAGTTCTGTTACCGCTAGTACCGTTAATGCTGCTGCTAATGTTACTGCAGCTAAAGCTACGACCTCCATTAATGCAGCTAACACAACAACAACAACAACTGCTGAAAATGCTACTCAGAATAATGAAAAGATTCCAAACGAACCAAATACCATTATAATGAATAATAAGAAAATTTCATCCCCACCAGTGAAATTAACAATTCCACCTGAAGTTGTTGCATCACATTTTGCATTTAAAAAAAATTATAAAGTTGTTTCTATGAAACCAATTAATGGTTTAATTGGAAAGCAACAACAACAACAATTACAACAACAATTATTACAACAACAAAGATTACAAAAACAACAAAAGTTATCTCAACAACAACAACAAAAATTTCAACAGCAACAACAATTGAAATTTCAACAACAACAAAAATTTCAACAACAATTACAACAAAGATTACAACAACAACAAAGAATCCAACAATTTCAAGCAAAAACAATTCCAGCGATTCAACAACAAAAACAACAACATCAACAACAACGTTCAAATATAATTCAAGCTATCATTCAAAAGAATACGAGTGCAGCATCGTCATCGTCATCGTCATCGTCATCGTCATCGTCATCGTCACCATCAACCACCACATTAACAACGCCACCACTATTTACTACAACGGAAATTAAAGAGATTCAACGTGTTATTAATAAAAATAAACCCAAATTTCCTGTTAACATTAAAACTAATACTAACACAATTACTAACACCAATACTAATACTAATACTAATGTTAATACTGCGGTAAGGAAAGAATCCACTGTTAAACAATTAATCACTAATCCCCCAGCACCAACATCGGCAAAAGATTCCGTAATTATTATGAATTTATTAAATTAATTTTTATTTATTAATTTTTATTTATTTATTTATTAATTTTATTATATTTTATTTATTTTATATTTTATTTTCATTTATATAATAGTTGGAAAAGAGACAAGAAGATTTATGTAAATTATCCATTAAAGAACTATTAACGAGAATCAGAAAACTTGTTTGAATAAATTTTAGTTTCCTATTACACATACACTTCATTTATATTCACATACGTATATTTATTAATTAATTAAATTAAATTATATTATATTATATTATATACACTTTCTCATTCTCCGAAATTTTCAATATTCATGTGAACAATGTATATTAGTTGTATCACATTACCTGCGGAACCTCTATAATAGGAACTTAGTTATAATAAAAATTGTTCAGTCTTTTAACATTAAAACTTTATTTACTATATATAGAAATAAAATTTTAACCATAGAAATTGATAGCTCAGAACTTAACCCTTGAAAATTGAAAATTTACTAATAAAAATTTTTTTTAATTATTTTATTAGTAAATTTTCAATTTTCAAGGATTAATTTCTTGATTCAATTGCTATGAAATTTGATATGCCAGATCTTCTCAGGAAGGACTATCAACCCTATAATCATCTTGGCTGTAACCATTCTGTATAAAATTTTATTCACAATTGAAATTTTATTAAGTGACAATTCACCAGATAGATCACCTGTTTACACAAAATCGGGATTATTAATTTGATATCAAAAACATCTCAAAAAAAATCTCCAAAACTCAAGGATTAAAATGAGCTTAGTAACTATTATTCTAAAATCAATCGTTCAGGCTGTATAATTTTTTAAAGACAAAAAAAAAGGTGTTGCAATACTTTTGTAAGCCACTGTAAATTCAATAATCTAGAATGTGAGCTAATTCTCTTAATAAATCAATTGTGAATTGAGTGGTTTCCATTGTTTTATAACATATCCAAAAGTTTAATTACATAGCATACACTCCTCATATTACATTGGTTACATTAATGCTTTGCTTTATTAATTATAATAAAATCGAAAAAGAATCAAATCTATCTATTGCCAACACTATAAGTTTTTCGTTTGTCTAAACTAGGGCTTGGAACCATGTCCCAATAAGTCATCTGGATATCCGAATGATCTTAAAATCGGATATCCAGATGAATCCGGATGATTTTCTAAAATTTTTTTTCACCTGGTTTCATGTATAAATCAGGTGAAATAGGTTTGATTATCAAAATTTATAATTGAAAATAATTGTCAATAGTTTCTACATATAAAACTTTTTAATCTATAAGTAAATATTAAAAACTGTGATAAGCAAACTTAAAGATGAGAATGATGTGCATATTCAATAGAAAGGACAAACTTATATCATTAAAATCGAAAGAATAATTAGTAAATAAAGTTTGAATAGATAAAAAATCTGTTCAAACTTTGATTGCTAATTATTCTTTCGATTTTAATGATATAAGTTTGTCCTTTCTATTGAATATGCACATCATTCTCATCTTTAAGTTTGCTTATCACAGTTTTTGATATTTGCTTATAGATTAAAAAGTTTTAGATGTAGCAATTATCAATAATTATTTTTGATTTTATAATTACATTATGACATTTATTTTTTTAATATTTTCCTTTATTTATTATATATATTTATTATATTTATTAAAAAAATATTATATTAAACATTAAAAATTATTAAAATATTATTAATAAAGTTGAATAAATTTGGAATTTCTTTTCATAAACATAATTTTACTGGCTAATTTTGAATTAAGACTTGTTCTTTTAGTAGTAATTTGATTTCCTGTATCAGAAAATAAATGTTCACTAGGTACAGATGATGCAAGAATTGATAAATATTTTCTGGCTAATATAATTAAGTTTGGAATTGTATTTTTCATTCAACCCACCATTTAAATGGATCTATATTATAATTTGCAATAAGTGTATATATAAGATCTAAATAAAATTCTAATTCACTTGTTCCAATTATTGAAATATGTAAGTGGCCATGTTGAAAACCAGATGTTGTTGTATCAGAATTTGAATTAAAGTTGTTCCTTGTATATACCTACAAACCTGATTTTGAGAAGAAAAGGTAAGTATTATTATTAAAAAATTATATTACTTTTTATATGTCTGTCGTAAACCTAGAAGAGAAAAGAAGGTAAGTATATTATAAAAAAACAAAAAACAAATGAACCTACCTTATAAATCATCTATTAGAACACCCATGAATCCACAAACCCACAAATCTACAAGCCTGATTTTGAGGAGAGAAGATAAGTATTATTATTATTATTAAAAAATTGTACTACTTTTCATATGTCTGTTGCAAATTTAGAATAGAAGAGAAGATAAATATACTATAAAAAATAAAAAACAAAAGAATCTACCTTACATCAAGAAATTTAATTAGGCGTAAATTTATGGAAATATCACATGATCTCCAGAAATTTACATCTAAAAAATTTAATTTTTAACTTCAGCTGAGATTTAGGTGACAGGGAGCAATTTTCTACTAAGATATTTCTAAGATAGATCGAAAGCCCCGATTTTTGGCTACAAGATGATATATACCTGCCACCCAAATTCAAAATCCAAATGCCAAAATCCCAAATGCTGAAATTCCAAATCCCAAATCCCAAATTATGATTAGTATTTTTTGCTGAAATCCCAAATCCCAAATCCCAAATACTAGTAATTTGGGATTTTGGCGTCCCAAATTCCAAATGATTTGGAATTTGGGCAACACGTATAAGATAATATATGTTTCATTACTATAGTATCGATATTCGCGCAGAAATTCACGTTTAAATTTAAACATCTGTGAAAAATTACGATATAAATTTTCACGGACATTTGAATTTAAACGTGAATTTCTCCGCGAATTTTGATGTTATAGTAATGAAACATATATAATCTTGTAGCCAAAAACCAGGGCTTTCGATCTATCTTAGAAATATCTTAGTAGAAATCGCTCCCTGTCACCTAAATCTCAGCTGAAGTTAAAAAATTAAATTTTTTAGATGTAAATTTCCAGAGGTTATGTGATATTTCTATAAATTTATGCCTTATTAAATTTCCTGATGAGGTGTTTGTTGGTGGCTTCTTTACGTTCAGATGGTGTTGGTATTTGGTCTTGAGTTCTTGAATTCTTTGTATTGATTTGGATAATGAGCTTTCTACCTTATTATTATTTCTGGATTCATGGTTATTATTACTAAAAAAATTCTAAATCTAACTAATATAATTATTACTATTATTATTTAATTATACAAAAATAATTTTTATTTTTGTCTGTATTAAATAATAGAGAGATATATGTGGAGTATGGAAAATAACCTGATAGAATTAATGATGTTATTTTGTAAATTATCATTATTATCATTATTATTTATTCATTAATATAAATTGTAAATTTGTATTTTATTAAATAAGTTTTGAAAAATAATTTCTTTTATTTATTTTAATTTTATATAATTTCAAAATATTATAATTTAAAAATAAAAATAAATCTAAATTAAGGATAGATTTTAAAAAATAAAGATGAATCCTAAAAATAAAGATGAATTCTTAAAATAAGAATGGATCTTTAAAATAAGAATGGATCTTTAAAATAAGAATGGATCCTTAAAATAAGGATAAATCTGAAATATTTAAGGATAAAGATTTATAATCTGAATTTGATCAAAAAAATCTAGATCTAATCTGAATTGTATTTTGAAATAGAATTTCAACACTAGTACGATGTCTTGCATATATTATTAACCTTGCTGCTCAAATCACTCTAAAAGCATTACAAGGATTGGAACCAGAAAAATGAACAAAATATATTACAAGAGTCTATTAATGAATTTTTTTTAGGGGTTATTACAAAATTAAAAAAATTGATGGTTAAAATTAGGATTTTTCCATTATGACATAAACGACTTTGTCAACAATGCAAAGCTATTAATGTAAAAAAATTTCAATTAATTTTTGATATAAAGATAAGATGGAATTTCACATATGACATGATTGAAAGAGGAATATTTCTTTGTGAAAAAAAAGATTTATATTAATTATATTGATTTTTATTATTATCTAAAATTTTTTTATTAACCATTTTATAATATGGCATCTGTTGATAATAACCTTTTTATATATTTGTTACAAAAGGAAGAATAGAATAAATTAAACAATATAAAAGATTTACTAAAGGTATAATTAATGTTAAAAATAAATATTTTTTAATAAAATATATTAATTATAATTTATTATAGTGTTTTAAAAATGCTACCTTGGAAATAAGTACATTAAAATTTTCTACTCTATGTCAAACTGTTCTAGTTTATAATTATTTATTTGATAATATTAAAGAATTTCAACAAAAAAATAAACTTTCAACTGATATGAATGATATTATAAATCTTTCAATACAAAAACTTGATGACTATTATCTAACTTCTGATAGTTTGGTTTATATTGTTACAACAAGTATAATATCTATTTATATTTTCATATATATTTAAATTTAAATTTTAATTATTAATACTTTATTTTATATTAAATAGTTTCGGACCCTCATTTGAAACTTACTTATTTTTAAAAAAAATAATTTTGATTCTAATTATATTAAAATATGTAAATAACAAATTACTGATTTATCAAAAAGAAAATACAAACCTGATGGAAATCAAGAATCAAATATATCAATTTTAAAACAAACAGCATTAACTAATCATATTTTCAAAAAGCAAAAAGTAGTATATAAAGATAAATTAGAATCTTATTTAAAAGAACCTGCATCTAATTTTGATATAGATTCATTATCATACTAGAAGGTATAATATTAAAATTTTAATAAATTAATGTTAAATATTGATATATGTAATATATATTTTATTTTATTTATAATTACATGAATTAAAATTTTCTAACTTTGCTAAAATGGCTCATGATTATACTTGTATGCAAAATTATTTTGGAGCTCTGAAATTGTAATTTCAGGAAAAAAAAGTTAAAATAGTTTTTTATAAAAGACAAAATTATTTTACTTAAAACCTGAAATTTTTTGATTACCCAGATTTATTCTTTGATTAAAGATACATATAACTAGATACTTTTTTTACTTCCATATGAATAAATTCTGCATAAATCTCAAAAAGTTGAAATATCTCAAAAATCTGAAATCAATTTTGGAAACATGTATATCCTATATTTTTCTTTTTCATCTACAAACCATTTTTCATTATTTTTTTTATAATTTGTTTCTGTGATACCTGTAATATCTATTTTACTATTTTTAATAATTATAAAAAAGTTCATGTTTAGTGTAGTCACCAATATTGAAAATATAAAATAAAAATCATAAAAAAAAAATTAATTATTAAATATCAAAATATAATAGTTAATAAGGGAATAATGGATATTATAGGATTAAATACTTGATTGTACAATTGTATAATATTATTATTTCTGAGTTAATGAAATTAATTACAAATTATTATTATAAAACCTGAACTTGAAATAATATTTAACCTGGATAAATAGAAGTAATACTTAACTAAGATAGAACTGGAAAACAATTAATGAATAGATGTTAATACTAAAAGTAATGATGAACTTGAAAAATATTGAAATAAATTAGATGAAAGGTCTGATTCCTTTCTAAAATAAGTGAATTAGTGGTGCCTTCTAAAACAATTGAACAATAGTCTTACCTTTGGGAAAGAACTATAAACTCCTTAAAAGAACTGTTAAGTCATTTCTCTGGTTTAACCTCAAGGAAACCAAAAACCACTGGTGACACCAGAAATAATATAATTATATTATTTTCGATACTTCTCATTACGTGAGACTATCTATTCAGAAGTATTATCAATTAGAGATAAGCTAATATCAGAATTTGAAGTGTTATCAGATATATCTGATGTCAAAATATTTTGAGTTTGTAAGTTTATCTGTTTGGAGGTATTGTTAGAATTTTCTATTCCAGTAAAAATACTTACTGTCTTTTTCTCAGAAATTGATAATTGCTCCAGGGAATTAGTGATTATTCTCTTTGATTTTATTTCCTCAAAATTACAACTTAATTTTGCTACTTTGATTTTAAGCTCAGAATTCTTAACTGAAAGTTTAGTAATATCTTTTTTATTTTTTCTAGTTCTACATTAAAGTTAATATTCTCAACTTCACATTTAGCTCCACATTTTTCTTTCTAAGCTTAGTAATCTCAGTTATGAGCTGTAAATTTAACACTTTCAATGGGTCATTTTTAGATTGTTTAAAAGTTTGAGAAATCATGAGTGCATTCTTTTTTGGAACGCCAATCACTTAAATATTTCAGAAAAATTACATATATATATTATTTCAGTGATACATATTTGAAATATTTCACTATAAAAATTTGTGTATAAAATATTTTTTTTGACTTTGTTCACAATTTACGAAATATAAAGCGATTTTCTACTAAGGTGTTTCTATTATAAATAGAAAGATCTTATTCTTGGATACAAGATGATATGTGTTTCATCTCTGTAGCGTCGATATCTACTGAGTTATTACAGTTTAAAGTCAAAACGTCCGTAAAAATTCTTCAAGAATTTGTTATAGAATTTTCACGGACGTTTTGACTTTAAGCTGTAATAACTCGATGAATATCGACGCTGCAGAGGTGAAACACATACTATCTTGTATCCAAGAATAAGATCTTTCTATTTATAATAGAAACACCTTAGTAGAAAATCACGAGCGAAATCAAAAAAAGTAATTTTATATACAAAAATTTTTGAAAATTCTAAAACTTTGTAATTTGGTTGACCCTTCAACCCCTTCCAAGCTGATGGTAGGGCTTATGGGTCGACTTGAGCTTATCAACACCATCGCCCATTAACCCCGTCAACTTGTTTGGCTTGGTCCGGTTCGGTTTGGCTTGTACTTTCAAGTCGACGAGGTTCGGTCGGTTTAGCTTGACTTGCTAGCGACTTTGATCACAAGTCGGACCAAGCCGGACCGTTAAAACTCATACGGGGCGTTCTAAAAAAAATTAAATGACTAGTTAATTTTATAAAGTTTCGTAACGTCGTGTAACTGTAGATTGTACTACCGAATCCCGTAGATGTAATATGTATCGAATAGAATCTAGATAAATCTAGTTCACCAATATTTTCTTCCTTACTAGCTCAATCAATTAATAATCAATAAACTAAATAAAAAATAAAAAACAATAAATAATAAATAACGAATATATCAAACACAATAGTATCGCCGTCGTCGTTTTTTTTTTTTAAATATTTTTATTAATTTTATCTAATAATAATAATAATAATAATATTTTATCAATATAAAATAAAATGAGTAACTGGAAGAACGTGAATAATTGGTAAATTTTATCGATAACCTTGATAACTTTTATATTAAAAAAAAAAAATAATAATAATCTCAATATCATGGTCAATATCATTAATCATATCATTTCTTAAATATACTTTTATACATTTTCAACAACCACTTTATTAGGCACTGGTATGTAAATATGTGTTAGATTATTGGATTTTGATTCATTGTATTATATATTTGTGTGTGTTTGGAGATAGAATTTGATGTGTATTCCATTCCGTTTACATTATCATTTTTTATCTATTTCTTATTTTTTTTTTAATTTATTATTATTTAATTTATTATTTCTATTTATTTTATTTCATTCTACTCCATTAATTCCATTCACATCATTTTATTTGTATAATGATAAATTATAATAAATTTTTGAAATATAAAATTTTTAATTAATTCTAATTTTTTTTTTTTAATAATAATAATAATAATAATAATAATGAAAATAAAACTAAAATAAATTAAAATAAAATTAAAAATAATAGGACCAATAAAAATTGTATGAATTGGGCTAAAGATTATTTAAACGAAAAACTCGTTAATCTTGAAATTGAACATGAAGGTTATAAGATTGAGACAACAGAAATTATTGAATGTTCAGGTGACGCAGATTTGAATCAAAGGAAAGGAAAATTCATTCCAATAATTGATTTGGAAGTGGAATTAAAATGGAAAGGTGATTATCATTATTATTATTTATTATTATTATCCGTATAATTATGATTGTTTATAAAATATTTATTTATTATTTATTGATAGGTGATAAACCTGATGGAGAGAAAATTACAGGAAAGATTAAAATTCCCGAATTGCAAAGTTCCGGAGACGTTGAGGTGAAAAGATTATTTATTTACTTATTTATATACTACAAGAGAAGAGAAGAGATGATTCCATTATTATTCAAATTATAATCATAATATTTTATTAGTTTGAAATTGAAGTCAATGACGATCCTTCGGATAAAGATGTAATAAGAAAAATAATTCGTGAAAAATTGGGTCCTTTGATGAATGAAAAAGTAAAAAATTTTGGAAATGATATGTTAGAAAGTATGTAAGAAATAAATATTAATATATTTAACATTAATTATATTATTATTATTATTATTATATCAAATATATCAAATATATCAAATATATCAAATACTAATATTCAATTATATTAATTATTAATTATATTAATTTATATAATTATTATTTAATCATCAGCTCATAGTAAAGATGTTTACATTGAACCATCTAAATTGGGAACGCCAACTTCTTCTCGACCAATGACACCCAATGAATCTATTACTTCTACAACTACTTCCACAACTATTCCTACAACTACCAAAGAATCAACCAAAGAATCAACCAAAGAATCAACAACTCAAGAATCAACTAAAAAATCTCTATCTAAAACTAGCTTAGGAAATGTTACTACAATTAAAGAAACTGTTGAATTACAAACTTCAGCTGATCAAGTTTACGAAACTTTACTTGATCCTGGAAGAGTAGCTGCTTGGACTAGATCAAGACCTGATATTTTTAGGCAGATTGGAACTTCTTTTAGTTTATTTGATGGAAATATTACTGGAACCATTTTAGAACTTGTAATTATATTTAATTATTATTATAATTATTATTATTATTATAATTACATTTAATTATTACTATAATTATTACATTTAATTTATTATTAATTATTTAAATTTATGTTTAGGTTCCAAATGAAAAGATTGTACAAAAATGGCGTCTCAAGACTTGGCCCGAAGGTTTTCTAAGAAAATTTTTTGTTTCTAAATTATTTTATTATTATTATTATTTTTTTTTTCATTATTAATCATTTCATTTAATCATAATATTTAATATCAATTTTAATATAATATTTAATACAATTATTTAATATTTTTATTATAACAATTATAATAATTGATAATATTAATTATTAATATTAATATAATATTAACATTTGATTAATAATAATATAACATTACTATGAATATATCTTAATTATTTAGGACACTACTCAACGGTCACCTTGAAATTTGAGCAAACCAGTGATTTTACGCGTGTCCATGTAACTCAAGAAGGAATTCCCATAGGTGAAGAAGAAATTGTTCGTCGTAATTGGCAATCTTATTATTGGAATTCAATTAAGAGTGTATTCGGGTATGGATTTATCAATAATAACAATGATATTAATAAATCATTTATTAAAAACAAAAGTAAAGATAATAATAATAATAATAAAAATAAGATTAAGAAAAATAACATAAATCATAATAGTAGTAGTAATAGTAGTAATAATACTGATAGTAAAAAAATTAGTAAAAAGAAGAAGAATAATAATAATAGGAGTAAACGTAAAAATAGAAATAGTAATAGTAATAATGAGGGCGGTATAAATTATGTATTTGTGGTGGCTAGTGTACTGACTGTTATTGTTTTGGGGTTTACGTTTTTATCACGTTCTTCTCCTATCCCTCCTCCCACTTCTCCACCTTCTTCTTAATATCTTCTTTTGCTTAATATCTTCTTCTTTTGCTCAATATAATCATCATCTTCCACAATTACAATTATAAATTATATTACATATTCTCCACCTCAATTATATTCTCCACCTCAATTATATCCTCCACCTCAATTTATATCTTCTTTGTTTATCATTCGTAGATTTGGTGCACTATTATAAAAAGATAAACTATTAAAGGGATGGAAAAAAAGGAAAACTTGAAGAATATATCAAATGAATATGGTAATAGTATTTTATATTCCCCTTTTTATATATATATATTTATTTTTTATTTTAATTTTTTTATAATACATAATACGCTCTAATAATTATCTATATTCACTTATTATTATAATATGCAAATCCACATTTTTGTCCTCTTTATCCCCCTTTACACTTTTTAACACGTTTTTGCGCTGTTACTATTATTTCTAGAAATCAATAATTAATATATATATATATATATAAAATTCATTCTCTTACTTTCTCTCGTTTTTTCTTATTTTTTGTTTAGAACTCAATAAGTCTCACATATCTATATTCATGATATTATTGATTCTCTTCATTTTTGTTCTTATCCATCCCTCTTTTATTTTCTTTTGTCGGTATTATTGTTGTTATTGTATTTATTTCTCTAATCTTTTTTTTAATAAAAAAATCTCTCCTTTTTATTAATAATAAATAAATCTATTATCTATCTATCTATCTATCTATCTATCCAGGGGATAGTTAATTAAGAATTGGTATTCGTGTAAATTTTTTTATAATTAATTATTTTCTTTATTTTTACGGAAAAAAGTAACAAAAATTTGGGCGCAAATTATAATCACGTGGGATGAATTTTTTTTAGCCATAGAGATAACATAAATTACGTCATTTATATGTCTCTTTCGCAAAATTAAAGTTGAGGAAAAATCCCTACCTACTAGTCTAACATTATATCCAAAAAGGTATTTATTTATACTTTTACCTTTTTTTTTGGTCCTTATTATGGCCAAAATGATTTTAAATTGTTTCGTCCTAGGCGACACTGATTTATTTGTAGTTGTTCTTGGAGAAAGAATTATAGTCAAAAATGATACAATCCCTTTCGACGAAATCAATGTTACACTTCTTAAGGAATTTATCAGGGAGGAGAGAGACAATATTATTAGTAGTTATAAAATGGTTCTTTGGAAGGTTGAGATTGAAGTAACCAATGATAACATAAAAAAACTTAAAAATATCAAAACTGATATTAAAAGTGAATTCAAAGGTGTTAAGTTGAAAGAATTTGATTTGGTTAATGAAATTTTCTCAGGTGCACCTCCAGAAGAACACATCAATATCATTGTGCAACTTTCCTCCACCACTGGTAAGCGTTTTTGCCTTTTGAACAAGAAATTTGGTGATTGTTAACTTATTCCATTTTAATCGCTTTCACAAATAACAATTTAACAGACATGCCTAAAAACAAGATAGGATTATCAAGACTAGGTATAAAGCTATTGTCTTTTGATTTTCATATTAATGTACAGTTTATTCACGTTATTTTCTTATTTTATATTAAATAGGAGGTCTTGGAGGAACACTTGTGAATGGTGTGGAAAGTGGTATGAGCTATGAAGGTGTTGATCTTAAGCATATTGAAAATATATGTCAGAGAAAAGAAACTATTAACAGGTTGCTTAATGATCTGGAGAAGAAAAATATTATTCTAATTCGATCACCACCAATGACAGGAAAAACATCACTTGCACAACTATTGGAATATAGCATTCTTGAATCAGAGGACGTGAAAAATGTGTCGACATGTGTTTTTCGCATTTCATTTCTTTGGATGAGAAAATATGAAATGGAATGGACGTTTTGCGGAACAATTTAAAGAAATTATGAACATGGAATGGGGTGATTTTATAAATCAATGTAAATCTAATAAGGGTAAAGTAATTTTAATTGTTGATGAAGCGCAAGTAATTTCTTATCCACAAAATGTAATTGAACCTCGCTATGGTGGAAGTATATTTTGGAATTCATTTAAAGGAATACAACAATTAAAAATTGTAGCATTTTCTGTATATGGATATTATGGTACTTACACTGATTCTGGACATCATTCAATTTTGACTATTTTACCACAATCTATTCTCTCTGAGGAAAATACATGGGGATTTGCAGATCAACGTTTTACTATTGAAGAGTTTAAAGATTATTTTAATAACTTTTGTAAAAATCGTCTTCAAATATTGAAAAAAGAAAGTATTTTACCTCTTTGTTATTATGTGGGTGAAATAACAGCTTTTCATCCAGGTTTAGTTACTTTCACCATGAATCAAATTTGTGAAAAATTTATTAAATGGCCTTCGCTGGAATTTGATGATGTTTTTACTTATCTCCAATCTATGAGTTTTTATGAAAATTTTAGGGTAAATATATACATATATATATATAATTTTTTGTAATAATTCTAAATAACCAAAATATTATTAACAATTTGTATATGGTGTCTTTTTCAGGATACGCGTGCATGTCCGCAGGTTGAATATATGTCAAAAGAAGAAAAGAAAATTGCTGATAAAGTACTTTTCAACAAAAGTCCTAAAGTTTATTCTGGCAGTATTCCAAATAATAATAATCAAATAATTATGACATATTTTCTTGTGGATATTAAAACAGAAAATGGTTATTCAACCCTTAACTTTCCAGCACCATTGCTTAGGGCTATATATTTTCGAGATCGTTTTGGTTATGTTATTCAAGATTTTTCTGATTATTTAAAATGGTCTAATTCACGACCTAAAGAAATTGAATTCAAAGATTTTCTCAAATTAGTATTCACAAAAATGTATCCGATGACATTACAAAATAGTAGGGATAAAGGAGAAGATGATCGACTTTTTGAACGTGTATGGAAAATGGAATTTTACTGTGCATCAATACAAGTTCTTCCTATGAATGCTTTAATTACTGTTGATGTTGGAAAAGTGTTTGGATCAACAGGATATGTAGATTTTTACATTAATGAACCGTATAATTGGATTATTGAATTATTGAGAGATGAGGAAAAAATGATTCAACATCAGCAAAGGTTTCAAGAAGGTGATATATCCGAACCTATTTTTAAACATATAAAACAGTGGGCAATTATTGACATTCGAAATAGTGATAAAAAAGTTCCAAAACCAGAAAAACTTAAAGAGAATAATATTTATGTTCATTGTGCTGAAAATTTTGAATTTGTTCAGTTGATTTATCCTAATGGAAACATAGAGGATGTTCAATTGTTAGGTGAAGAAAATAGGCTTGGATATGATATATCAGAATTTTTAGATTCAAAGGAAATTGATTAAAAATTTCTGATTTATCTAATTATGTTTCTATATTTGCTAAATAAGATCAGATCATTATTGATTTTTATATTTGATGAAAATTGTATTGGTTAAATAAAGTTTTACTACATTGTGCAATTGTGCATCTAAATTTTCAAAAATAAGTTTGAATTGTAAACAATTTTATTGTTTTTATTATTATTATTATTATTTATTGTAAAATTGAATCATGTTATAAGAAAATAAGTGAAATGTGATATGCTTCCAAAAAATTGATTATGTAGATCCTAGACAAATTCCTGTTTAGAAACTAATTTATTTTATAAAATTACTTTTCTTATCTACCATATATTCAAAATAAAATACCCAATTATTTTTATACAAAAATCTATAAAGATATTTTATTCTGATTGAATAGAACTAGTGTAAGCTCCCAAATTAAATGAATCGGAATTTTATATAAAATTTAATCTATGAATTACAACCCAAATAATGTGTCATATGTGAGTCAGAGTTTTATTTATATCAGAGCTCCGAAGGACATAAACTCACATACTATTAAAAAAAAATAATGGGTCATGACCCATACATTGAATTTATATGAAGTTCTTGATTTGGGGTTGACCCATTTCAACACTTTCATAATATAAACAAAACCAAACAGTTACATTATTTTTATTTTGTTCTTCAGCATTATCACAAGTAATTTTTAAATGTTTTTCACCTTTATTCAATTTCTTAATTCTATCAAAGATCATGTTAAGTTTACCATTGGAGCCTTTTCCTTATAATTTCATCTTTCATCAAGAACATAATTAATTTGTTTTCTTACTGATTCATCTTTATCAAATAAATAGACCTTGATAATAAATCTTACTTACCTGTTGATGAGAATGTGGTATATGAACATTTGAATTCAATCATAACTATAATGAGCAGTATCATCATCAATACTACAATATTGTGTTTTAACTTGGAAATAATTTTGACTAACTAATTGTTTCTGATCTTGCCTTGAACAGATGTTCTTTAAATTTTTTGAGTAATTCTTTAACTTCTTCTTCTTGGGGAGCATTGTAATGTAAACTATACATGTTGAGTCAGACACAATTAAAATTAAAACTGAGTCAAAAGCTTTTACTTTTGATAACATGTATAATATAAATCATTTTGAAAATGTTGGCAAGCATCACACAAGTTAGTCCTAATTTGAATCTCAGGTGTCATGATTTTCTAAATGCATCATATTTTAAAGATTGATTATCTTCTTCCAGACCAGCTAGAAAATCGCTGTGCACGGATTTATAACTCATTTCAGCTGGTAAGAAAGTAAATGATTGAGTTATTCTATTGATACTTCTTCTTGGACTTCTGTATAATTTTTCAGAAAACTCTTTACCATTTTTCTTGAAAATTTCTGATTACATATCCTTCCTTTGAAATTTCTAATATTAAAATATAGTCAATCCATAATATTCAACCAATCTTTTAACGAAATACTTTTTTCTGTTATAACTAAATCTATCCGGATAAGAACTAGATAATGTTTATTTTTTTCTGTCCGTTCATCTAGATACAATCATTTTCTAAAAAAAATAATCAAAATAAATTTGTTTATGAGAAATAAACCTTTACGCTTCCATTAACTAATAACTTTATAACTGATAAATATTCTAATAAAAAAGACTAGACTTAAGATGCATAACAGTTTATAAAGTAATCATGAAATAAATAACGTGATGGAGATATTTTACAAAATTTATTAACTAATTTAATTTATTTAAAAATACATGATTTTATTATTTAATAACTATTATTTAAAATTTTATAGGTTAATAACAAATAATTCTTTTATTTTGATTTAGCGGATTTTAATGATTTTTACAAGGAGCATCTGAACCACATTTAGCCCAGCAATAAGCTCCTATGCCGCTGCCACAGGATTCCCAAGGATTAGAATAGCAGAAACAATTGATAAAACCAATCTCTGGATTACCACCACATACATAAGGAACCGCATTTGAAAAGCAGCATTGATCACTACCACTACAGCCACTATAGTTAAAACAATATTCATTATTCCCTTCTGATGTCCATCTGGGTTCACACCAATTTGCCCATTCGTATTTTCCACCACGGTTGTAATCACTGCAGCAATCACATCCATCATTACCACCACAGGCTTCAGTCCATGTCCAGGTATGACTATTCCCATCGTAACCAAATATAGGCGAAATAGGAACATTAGTACTATCACATCTAATACCAACAGGTACTTCTGATCGCGTGTCACAGGACATTCCCCAGGCATAGTTAGCAACAGCAGGGTCGCAGCCTTTACCATGATCATAACAGCAGGAGTCAGTGCCAGTGATTGGGCATTTGCTCCGTTTCTCCATCAAGTGAAGCGCGGTTTCATTAATTGGGTTTGCTGAAGCGATAACGGCAAAAATAACCAATAAAAGAGGACATGTATTGAATTTCATTTTCATGTTTCAGTTTTTATCGCAAAAAAAAAAAAAAGGAATTTTTTTAAAAAAAAATAAATAAAATAATCTGTCCCGAGTTTTCTTATAGCTTCTCTTGACCCTTTATTTATAGTCGACTCGCATTATAGTGAACCTTTTGAACCTTTTAAAAGCTGAATTTTTTTTTTTAATTAAGAATTCCATAAAGAGAGTCATTTTTGTATCGTCTATGAAGAATTAAAAATCGAAAAAAGCCTTCTTTTTATGTATATATAACTAACGATTGCCAACAATCTGGCAGCTGCCTACCTGTCCAATCGTGACTACGAGTTACTAAAAAAGATTACTAAATGAGGAATCTCAGCGAGCATATCGACACTATCCTTTTTGAATCCAAATTTGGGAATTTTATCGGAAATTATCCAAAACCGACTACATATAAAGTTGGATAAAGAGCTTTATTATCTGCTAGATTAGTTCTAAATTTTCTACTATTCCGAAAAATTTAGTTTCCCGCATATCTAAGATAATTATTAATTACTTATCTTATTTTTTGCAATGTATTAATAAATAATAGCAGAAGATAATAATGATATTAAATCAATTCTTTAAGAATCTCAGGAAAAAAATAGAAATAATCCATAATTCGAAAACAAATCTCCTTCTTAACCACTACCATTACCACCATTTTATCTGTATCGAAAAACAATAATTGACTTCAAAGAAATTGTTTCCGACATTGTTAATCAATTACAATACAATACAAAAAAAAAATTTATATCGATCTTTATGAATTACTAGAAATAGTAAAACCCGAGATCCAGCAAGATATTATAAACTCGATAGCTACTACAGTAAATGGAGTCCTGGGGAAAAGGGTGATGCCCTGAGCTGTGGGGCCTACGTGAGAACCGATTATCATGTCTGTGAAGCTTGTGAGTGGGATAGTTGGTTATCCTCTATGGGACGAAGGAGTGGGATATCTTCCTTTTTTGATTTTTCTTTATTATTTTATAATTTCTTTTTGGGGGAGATGGAGGGGAATCGGTGTTTTAGTATCGTTGGCGTAAAATGATAATTTTTTTTTGACATAGACAGATACGATCATGTATTTCTTGTTGGTGATAGCAGCTGAGTAGACCGTGGTTGGTATTAGATATTAGCCTAGTCAGTAATAGTTATCTTTATCTTGTATTTGACTTTTTTACAATTTAATAAATTAATTACAAGCTCTTGCTAGTCCAAAAAAAAAAAAACTCGATAGCAAAATCCGAATATTCAAAGAGAGAATAATATAATTAACAGAGATTCAAAATGCAATATTTTGGATGATAAATATTTCGATTCTGATTCTTCAATTCATTAGGTTCATTGTTGATTTATACATATATAATATGGCTTCGAATTCAAAGAACAAGAAGGCAGGAAGTTAGCACTCGCTTTTGATAATATCAATTTTTAGCATGCTCCATAAATGTGCCACCTGGTTGAGCTGAGTTTTATACAATTTTCCATAAACGAAATATTCGTTGGATAATTAATGTCGCGTGACTTTTATACTTAGATATAAACAGTGCTACCTGTATTTTAAATTTTCTAAATTTTGAATTATCACCTATGTACATATTCTCGTTTAGTTAAATTATTTTTAACACGTTCTTTACTATAAATTTCATATCCGGGTATTAATAATAATTTGCACATATATTTGAGTGGATAATACTTTGTAACCAGGCTTCTGGTGTTTTCAAATTATTATTATTATGATTTAAACTTAACATATCTTTTTTAAGTATCACTGGTATCACTGGTCGAAACTTTATAAATACTAAACCAATCGGAATAGTATTTATAAAATTTTGAAATTACTATACCCACGATGAAGAAATTATGTGGCGAGGTAAATACTTTTCTCAAATTAAAAACTGGGTTAACGCATCTTAAAATGGCCTATGAGGAAGTATTTATTTCCAGTTTGTTTCACTGGTAAGAAGAAATATTTCGGAATTCATCATGCTAACTTTAAACCAGATGAACTTTTCATTAAAGGAATTGATATTGTGAAGCAAGGTAAATCCCAACTTTTCAAAACTATAGGAAATCAGATTATGTAGGAAGCTATGGATATCAACAATGAGTGCTCACTCCATAAAATTGTTGACGATGTTCTCAGAGATGCAATATCCAATTCCAAGCAATGGGATTTTGATCAGTTTATAGAGACCGATGCGTGGAAACCTAATAAAGATAATAAATGTGTTCAACGTTTTATGAATAAGATTCCGGATCCGGGTGAGCATTTTAGTTAATCTTTGATCTGTCAGGTATAAAGCTTAAGCTACCAAAGGCCAATCGAATGGAATTCACTGATGTGGCTAAGGAAATGTGTAAGGAAATAGATTTATCTCATTACTCCGAAAACATTATTATTGGCCTTTGTGCCCGATTCATCATGTATGATAAGAGATACGAACCATCACCCACTGACAAAATCATGCAGCTCATAGACTTGGATGAGAAATATAAACGGATTGATACCTATGCTCAAAACAAGACCAAGACATGGCTTGAATCAAGGAGATAAATGTGGTATATGGAATCACTTCTAAAATGATGCGTTCCCGTGGAGATGCTTATCGCCGTGCCTATAAAGAAGCCATAAAAGAAGATCAATGTTATCTAAGTTCTTCAAGGTGATTGGGTTAATCATGAACACTTTATAAGTGGCGATTCAATTTCTAAAATTAGTAAAAAATTTTGAAACAATAAAAAGAGAGGAATCGGATATCAAGAAATAGAAATTCTACTATATAAATTCTATATATGGCAGGTGTTATTTCACACATACATGTGCGATTTAACACTGACTTTTGTCATGTTTGGCGTGCCAATAGTGTTAGAAAAATTGCTATAGAATACAATTCATTCTTCCGTAAGTTGGTGTACAATATGAGATATAAAGAACATATAGAAAAAAATGAAATAATTGCCGAAAGTGGCTATTGAACAACTTTACCTTATATATCAGAAACTGATCGATTAATACTTGAAAGTTTCAGTTAACATATTCTATATATCATGTGAAGCAAAGATATGTTAAGATTTGAGATCACACGTTTTTAAGCACTATCGATCATGCAGAGTAGTAAAAAGATTGACGAGATCATCGACCTATATTGTAAATCTTTTACGATATGATAAAATTAATTAATATAAAAAGTTGAACACGAGGTATAATAAAAATGGTAATAATCAAGGCTATAATAAATTTTCGTGTAATATTTTCTGGAACAAAAAACTATAAAGAAATATAATCCAACATGGAGTAAAATTTCTTCTAACATTAGCTAATATTAAATTTCTTGATTCTTCTTGCCGTATCATTACCATAACATGATGTATAGCTTTTTCAGCAAACCCATAGTAGTAGTTGTTTTTTGTGGTATTATTTTTTGTTCAAGAGATTCAATTCATTCAACCAATTTTTGATTCAAGTTCATCAAAAAATTTATCAACTCATTCATTAAATTTTATTCAAAGAGTGATTCATGAGCCAGATTTTTCTTTGGTGGTTCTTCAGTAATTTTAACATTATAAAAAAGAATAAGTTTTCCGATAACTCCACATCCCATTATAATAATTGCAACATGCAGGAAAATTTTAATAAAGTTGAAAACCTTAACCTCCAAATATGCTACCAAGATTAAATATAACTAATGAGACTATTAAACTAATTATAATGTCGAGAATACTTCTTGATTGTTTTGACAGTTTATAAACGAAATGACTTTCAATAGTGACAGACAGTTAGAATAATTAATTTCTTATAAGTTATAAATTAATAAAATAATAATGTTATATTTTTATTATTTAGATTACATATATACTGTATACATTTTGTAATAGATATTTGAATATAAATAATAAATTATTGGAATACGTAACATTATCCTAAGAAACCTAAACATGAATTTTGGCATCAAGGCGAGCTTGCATTTAATTAAAACATTTATTTCAGATTAATTTCTTTTTATTCAATTTCTTCATTCTTTTCCTCTTCGACATTTAGAATTGTTTTATATGTTAATATAAGCCAAACACTAACTAGTAAAGCACTAAGATTTGAAAATATCCTATTGAAAATATCGGGAGTTTGTAATAAAAAAAAATTAATTAAAGAAGGTAGATAAATCAAACTGGTGCATATATTTTCTGTCAGAAGATTAAGGTAAGCATCGAACCCAGGCACTTTATCTTTGAAAATTTCTTGATGCTTCTTTATATATTTTCCCTACAATATGCTAATATTAATATCATAAGTTGAATTCCAAATGTAATGACAATAGAAATAATCAAAGCTAAAATAAATTTTTGTGTAATATTTTCTTTTAAGTCATTAAAATTAAAGAAATATAATATAATATGTATGGTTACTACACAAATAAGATATTTTTACAAATTTATTTAGATAAATTCACATATACGGATATATCCAGATAAATTCGAATATTTTAATGCAGATAAATGTGTGAGTGGTCAAATATATTTGGATGTATTTGCTCTTAAGAATTTCCTGATGTAATTACGAATCATCTTAAAATTGTGAAAGCTAATTCCAAATCATTTTAAAATCATGAAGACTAATTACAAATCATCTTAAAATCATAAAGGCTAATTATGAATCTTCTTAAAATTGTAAAAGTTAATTACAAATCACCTTAAAATTGTGAAAGCTAATCACAAATCATCTTAAATCATGAAAGACTAATCACAAATTATCTTAAAATTGTAAAAACTAATTACAAATCATTTTAAAATCATGAAGGCTAATTATGAACCACCTAAAATTGTGAAAGTTAATTATGAATCACCTTAAAATCATGAAAGCTAAATTGCTTCAGAAGATTGTGACCTCATTAAATTGAACAATGAAATAAAAGATATACTGGACAAATATATTGATGATGAAGTCAATAATAAAAATTTGATTATTTGCAGTTTAATAGTAGAAGGCAAGTTATATACATTTATATTTTTATAAAAATAATGATCATATTAATGTCTATAATTTAATTTGCATTTTTTTGTATTCTCGTAAATAGGCTTTCAGTGTCAAATGTTTGTCGTGAATTTAAAATACAAAGTCATATACTGGATGATCCTTTTAGAAAATTCCATCTTTCTCGGAATAATTCAGATCTTGTTGTACTTTCCACTTCAATTGACCATCTTATACAAATGAAAGTTAGTATATAGTATATAAATATTATTGGATTTTATTGAATCTATTTAAAATCTAATTTTTATCTTTCTTAAAAAGACTATAATGAAATATTCCACTGAATTCTGCAGAAAAAATATTCATAACTTATATAAACATGAAACAATTCAAAGAAATATGCTTTACATAATGAAACATCACATGCCAATGAAGATTTCACAGAAGAACTGGATTACATTTATAATATGTTTTCCATATAAAATTAAATTTGATATAGATTTTTTAATTTCCCTTTTCACTATTCACATGTAATAATGATATCAATTATATCAATGAATTCAAAGTGCTGTAAATTGATAGTTTTCATGCTAAACCTGTGAATTTGTGAGCCGGATCAGGCTTAGGTCCAGTTTGGTTCATATTTTTGAGCCCATTATTATATGAGCTTGGCTTGGGACAGTCTTGCTAAATATCAGGTTGGGTTCGGACTTTGTGAACATGTCCAACTAGACCCAACTAGGTCCCAATGGCCCAATAATAGATTTTAGATTTTGAATGTTCAAGATTGGTTGAGAGATGCAAAGGGTAGTACATAATAAGCAGTTTTTTTATGTAAAGTTTTTTTTCATGTGAAGTATTCAGAAGCAAATAAACATAAACTTATTGTTTCAGATATTAAAGGAATCAAAAAGGAACTAGAAAATTTTTTAACAAAAAGAAAAATTTGTTTATAGAACTTAATAATTGTCATGCAAATTATGGGACATTTTATTCATATCGGTTGATTGCTATACCTAATCAATTAATCATTAATTAGACGTAGCCAAATTCATAAAAATTAAAATAATAATAATTAATTAATATTTTTTAATATAAATGTAAAACGTAACGTATATAATATATATTAGACCTGTGCGACAATCAACCTATACTCCGGGCTTTCTATTGGGCCTGGGCCTAAAAATATTGAGTTTAAGTTTAGTTAAGCTCGGCCCATTCCGTATCCTAGTTTTCATGTAATTTTTGACAATGGACCATTATTGAAACTTTGCTATCTTTATACAATTTAAATAAATAATTGGATATAAACAATCTATTACTAAAACATGCAATCCGAAATTGATTCATTAAGACAACTTGAGGCTTAAACAATTTGTAAAAATCAAGTAAAATGAAAATAAGCACCTAATCCTTTACTCTATATCATAATTTTTTTTTTTTTACCTTGTTTTCTATTCTGACCATTTTTGCTTATTTCTCCATTATAAAAAAAAATAAGTAAAATAAATCAAAGTCAAAAATAAAATAATAATAGTAATAATAATAATAATAATAATAATAAAATCAATTCTATAATAAATTATAATATACATGAAGAAATATAATATAATTATTTTTGATTTGTAACATATTCCTAAAAAATAAATGAAAAAATAAACAATTAAATAATTAAATAATTAAATAATTAATTAGGTTCTATTTAATGAATGAATGAATTAAATGTATACCTGAATTATATCATGTGTTTTACGTTTAAAAGATTGTACTTGTTTCCAACAATCGAGAGTACGTGTATTATTATTTCTAAATATATTAATATTAATTTAATAATTTAATATTGAATAGAAATAAGAAATAAATAAATAAACAAATAATAAGAAATAATTACTTGTAACAAGATATCACAGCTCTTTGTTGTTCAATTAAATCCGGTAAAATTTTATCTTCATATTTTCTATTAAATATAATAATAAATAATTGTTATTATTATTAAATCGATTAAAAAAAAAAATAATTAGTAAAATAATCTATTAAAATTTCAATTAAACAATTAAAACTTAAAAAAAAAAATAAAATAAAATGAAATAATAATAATTAAACAAACCTTTCAATTCTCAATACCAATTCTTCTATGTCACGTTCAGTAGTTACAGAATTAGCTCCACTATCTTCAATAAATGTTCTTGATCTTTCAATTTCTTCATTAATTCTTGTTTGAATCTCTTCTTGACGTTCTTGAATTTTTTTTAATTCATTTTCAACTCTATATTTAACTATCCTTTCTATCTCTTCCGGTAATATTTTTTCGCCTCCCTCACTTTGAGTTGATGCTTCCTTTTTCTAATAAGATATAATAAATATTATTATTAATTGTTATGAATTATTATTATAATTAAATTTTTAATTATAATTATAATTATAATAATAATCCTTTTTAAAACTTACCAACCGTTCTTTTTGTAATCGATTAACTAAATCGTGAGAAAACTAAGCAAGTAATATTTAGTCTGTGACTTCCTATAAACTTCAAATAATAATTCTTTTTCTTTTGAAAAAAAAAATATTACCCGAATTTGAGGTTCGTTATATATAATAATTTCTTGGGATGGTTGTGTGGATTGTTTATTTCCCATGTTCTTCTATGTTTTTTACAGTATACCAAAATTTTTTTTGGGTTTTTTCTGAATCGTGTGAATTGTTCGAATTGCGTTGTTATTAAATTAAACTGTAATCAGGGGTTTTAAACTTTTTGATTATCAGTCACGTTATTAAAATCGTTACCCTCAAAAAAAAATCTAAAAGTGACGAAGTGTTAAGGGAAATATTTTGTTTCTGTCATTAAGTTTCGCGTCAAAGGAGGTTGACTGGTGGCTAAAATATAGAGATGGAATCGGGTGACTCATCAATTGCAACCACCTAAACAGTCTGTTAACTCGTCAGGCTATATCTCCATCCTAAATCTGCATGAAGGCCAATGACAACGCGTCTTTGTTCTTTCGCAGCTTGATTATATACATTTTGTTGCTTTCAGGTTCTAAAAGTATTATTTAATCACAAAAAAAATGGTAAGAAAGATGATTATAATTCAATTCATGAGAGATCAGAGATATTGCAAAATATGGCAATAAGATTGATAATAATAAAAAAATGTCGAAACAACCGATAAGAATCTTCACGTCGTAAGGTAGAAGAAGGTAGGCGAATCCAATAAATCAATCAATTAGATCATTGCACATTTTTACATATCTCGAATTCCTTAACCAATAAATCATAACCATTTTGATTTCTCTTTATTTTTTTATTATTATATAAATCTTTTAACAAAATTATATTTTAAATAAATAAATGGTTTACAAATAATAAAAATATTGATAAACAAAACGATTCTCTTCTGTATATAGATTACACCCATTAAATAATGTAAATAATGAATATTATTAAATTTTATATATATTTATAAATTGGATATAAATAAAAAAAATAATATATATATATATATTAGGTTTCACTCTGGAATTAATATAATAGTAATAAAAATAAGAATAAAGAAAGTAAAGATGAAGATTAAAGATGAATCAAAATTTTCATTCATAGAATCCTACACGTAAGGGATGTAAGATGTAAGAGATATAAAGAAATGTGTATTTTTGAAATCACAAGTCAGATTCTTTAAAAAAAAAAATGAATAAAAATTGAAAAGGTAAAACTATGATATGATTCAAAAATATCTAAAAATAAATAATAAATAAAAATAACGATAATAATGGTAAAGTAAAAAATAAAAATAATCTAAAGTATTAATTATAATTTCTAAGAAGAAATACCCACCACACATTAACTGAAAAAAAAAACCATAAGACCTCTTTAATTATTATTATTATTACATTTTTTTTTGTACTATAGTTTTTTTTTTTTTTTTAATTAAATAACCGGTCCACCAGGTCCCACTTGTGATTGTACAGGTTGTTGTTGTTGCTGTTGCTGTTGCTGTTGCTCATGTTGTTTGTTACTAGAAGATTCTTTTAGAGCCATTAGTTGTTTAGAACGGAAAGCTTCGTAATGAATTTGGGCAGTAGTCTCAATAAGATCTTGAAGGTGAGTTCTTTTGAAAAATAAAATAGAATAAATATATAAATATAAAAAAATATAAATATTTATAAATATTTATATATATTTATATTTTATCAACAATAAACCAAAATGTAAATAATAAATCATACCGTGTAAGAAAATCTCTAAGATGAACGAACTCACAATGATTTTCATTCTCCACTAAATAAAGTAAATAAAAGTCGTAAATAATAAAGTAAAAAAAATAAAAAAATAACAATTTATTTTTTTTTAATAATTAAAAATATAATTCTTACCATTGATAACACCCCATCTATTCCTTCGTCCACGAACAGATTTACCATCAATGACAACATTTTTTTCAGAACCAACGATAGCAAAAGGGATCATTTGCTGTTTACATATAATAATAATATATTTGTTATCGTTATCGATATTCATTATTTTCTATTTCTTGTATTATTATTGGATTATTATTATTACCTTGATACGCTCGTTAAGAGCAATTTCATTATCGTCGAGTTCATCACTATCATAGGGATATAACTTGATGTTATGATGTGACAATTCTGACTTTATCTATTGTATAAATAAAATTCAATAATTTTGATCTAAAAATGAAGTTACGTTAATTTAAGTAATGAACAGAAAAATATTTAAAACCTAACGACCTTACCCTATGCTTGAAAGCTACACGTTCTTCCATTGTTAGTGAATCTGATTTGGCAATTACGGGAACGACATTAACAACTTCGGAAAGTTTTTTAAGTACGACAATGTCAATAGGTTTAAGACTATAGGAAGAAAAAAAAATGGAAATGTAACAAATGATAACTTATTAACTCATCAACTTTATAATAAAAATATATATGTACACAGATATATATATATATTTCTATTAAACTTACGCGTGACCAGTTGGAGAAATAAAAAACAAGCAACAATGAATTCTGGTGTCTTGAATATATCGTTCTCGCATAGCGGTGAGCTCTTTACGTAAATAAGCACTATGCTGGTCTTTAATGTACTTAATGATGGGTTCCCAACTAATTTTAAAAATAATTAAAATGAGATATTTAATTAAACGAAAATATTAACCAAAAATATTTAATTAAAGCGAAAATATTTAATGAAATATTTAATTAAATGAATTATGAATTATTTACCAATTTTCATTGTTGACTTGATCACCGTAACCGGGTGTATCAACTATATTTAATCTCAAACGAATACCATTTTCTTCGATTACTATGTTGTAAAGAGAAAAGTAAAAAATAAAATAAAATAAAATAAAAAATAGTTAAATAAAGGTTGAATTCTATTCTCATTATTATTATTATTATTATTATTATTATTATTATGTAAAGTTAAATAATTAATGAAATTTGTTCATACAATGTGAAACGGTTTGAATTTCAGTGGTTTGTCTAAAAGGCTCTTCGGAAGAAGTACGACCTTTACTATCAATTAGGTGCGCTGCAAAGATGGTATTAATGAGTGTTGATTTACCGAGACCAGTTTGACCTATAAAACAAAGGTTCACGAATAATGAAGGTTCAAATACAAAAGGGTTAAAAAAGGTATTTGAATCTAATCATGTTTTGACGAGATGACCCATGGTAATAAGTTTAAAACGTACCAACAACGATAACGTTAAACTGAAATCCACGTTTCAAGAGTTTTTTTTCAATTTGATTGGTGATGGAATCGAACCCTACATAATTGTTGAGGGTCACCTAAAAAATTATTAAAAATTTAAAAAGAACCGGGTTAGTTTTTTTTTTTTTTTTTGACATTTGGTCTTATTGTAAAAAGAAGGGAAAGTTGACTTTTTCAAATATTTACTTTTTGAGGTTCTGCCACGGTAACCATTCTTAAAACGTATTAAATATTTTAACTTTGAGGTTTTACTTCGAGAAAAAAAAATTTCGAGGGGGTTTTTTTTTGTATAGCTGAAGGAACGTATGGGGTGAGTTTCGCTCTATATGGAAACGTTAGTTTATTAGAAAAGATTAATTATAAAGATTATAAAAGAGTACCTCTTTAGCTGGTAACAAATCTTTGAATTCAATTGGTTGTCTTTTGTTTAATTCGCGGTAAGACGAAAATAATTTAATTATATAAGTTGTCGTGTACTGTTACCAACAAATAAAATATACAAAATTATTAATTACCGTTTTTTTTTTAAAGTAAAAAAAAAGAGCTTTGGTGACTGTGAGATTCGAACTCACGCCTCTTTCGAGACCGCAACTTGAGTGCGGCGCCTTAGACCAACTCGGCCAAGTCACCGAAACATAAGGCAACTGTCATCTTATTTTTTGAAAAATAATTAGTCTAAAAAGTATTTGAAATTCTTTGTCTTCAGATGACAAGAACTTGATAAATATCAATGCCAGATTAAAACAACTATCATTATGAAATTTTGAAAAAAATGTTATTAGGAATTTTATTATTTCACACATAATAAAAAATCAGGTGTTTGTATTTATTTCTAGATTTTCTAGTCAAGGGCCAATGTAATAAAAGCTAGTTAGTGTGTGGTAGGACTAAAGTCTTATCTTATTAGAAAATGTATTATAAAAAGGGAGGTTATTTTAACTGAAAATAGTTTCAAATTTTATCCAAATATTCGAATTACCTAATAAAATTCGAGTATATAACCAAAAGTAAATATCCAATAATACTTCTCTTTTACTAAGGAGTTAAGTATCAAAAAAAAAATTGTTTCTTTATAGATTATTTTGGTATTAAATGCTTTAACAATTAAATTCGTATTATCTAAATTTGGGATAACTTTTATTTTAAAACCTTTAAAACCTGATTAAAAAATAAAATGAAAGTATTAGAAGTATTAGCTAATTTACCCCGGATCAGAAATTCTTCCTAATTTTGTAATAAATCTTCCTATTTGTGTTAAAAAAAAAAATTGAAACAAAAAATTCTTTTCCTAATATCAACTAGCTTCTTTGACGATCATAATTACATTAGGGTTACACAATTGATAAGATGTATGGTTACTCTAAACGTCAGCATCTTTAAATAATAGATACTATTCTAACTTCAATTATTTTGATGAAAAAAGATGAGATATGAAAAAATTACACGTAACACATTCAAAGCCTGTTGGCTTATAAATACTGTGGAAATTCCCAAGCCATTAGAATAAGAATATTGTGTATTTTTATTTTTATTTATTTTTACTTTTGTTCGAAAAAAAAATAATACATTATATAAAAGTTATATATTATAAATAATTTTAAAAAATGACAAATCAACTTGACCAACTTGCAATTAACACCATTCGTACCCTTTCCGCTGACGTTGTTCGAAAGGCCAATTCTGGTCACCCTGGTAGGAAAGAATTATTAGTAACTAGTCTTATAAAATTCAATAAAAAAAAAAATAAATTTTATTAAAAATAAATCCAATTTACAAAAGGTGCACCTATGGGTTGTGCGCCAATGGCTCACGTTCTATTCTCATCGTTCATTGTGGCCAATCCTTCAAATCCAAAATGGGTATCTATTTTTTTTTGATCAAATATTTCCAGTTCGCATTTTGATATTTAATTTTATAAAATTGTATTATATATATTTAATTAATATCGATTTTTTTTTTCTCTCTTTTTCTCTCTCTAGCCCAACCGAGATCGATTTGTCTTATCTAATGGTCATGGTTGTGCATTACAATACGTTTTGCTTCATTTACTTGGTTACAATATGACAATGAGTGACTTGAAAGCATTCCGTCAATCAGATAGCAAGTAGGTTAAAAAAAAAAATTAAAATTAACCTTTTGATATAAAGAGAAGGGTAATTTAATCTCTCCCTCTTTTTTTTTTTTTTCTGCTTTTTTATCAATGGTTATTAGAACTCCTGGTCATCCTGAATCTCATCTTACTGAAGGTATTGAAGTTACAACTGGACCTCTTGGTCAAGGTAAATTTTACACTCTCGAAATTTATATAATTTGTGTTGATGACGTAACTTACGCGCTCGTTTCTTGAGTCACATGATTTATTTTATTTTTATTATTTAATATTCTATTATTAAATATTAATATTAATATATATATATATATATTAGGTTTTACCAATGCTGTAGGATTGGCTATGGCTGAAGCACATCTTGAATCCAGATTTAATAAACCAGGTTATGAATTATTCAGTAATTGCACTTACGTGATTGCTGGTGATGGTTGTTTACAAGAAGGTATTGCATCAGAAGCTGCTTCTCTTGCAGGGTAAGTGTTTTATTTAAAAGTTTAAAAATTTGAGATTTATCTTTTATCTTTTTTGGTAATTTTTTTTTTTTTCTCTTTAAATTTAGTCATCTTCGGCTTGGAAAACTAATAGTGTTCTATGACGATAATCACATATCAATTGATGGTAAGAATATAACATATGTATATATATATATATATTATAATTATTTTTATGATCATTTTTTTGATGTTTATTTTATTTATTTATTTATGGAAAATTTCCAGGTGATACCGAATTAAGCTTTACAGAGGACGTATTAAAACGTTTTGAATCTTATGGTTGGCATACACAATTTGTAAAAGATGGAGATAATGATTTGGCGGGTATTACTCAAGCTGTTGTAAATGCGAGGAATGTCAAAGACAAACCTTCTATTATCAAAATCAGAACAACTATTGGAATTGGTTCTAAAGATCAAGGAACCGAAAAAGTTCATGGTAGTCCTTTAAAACCTGATGACATTGCCCAAATCAAGAAAACTTTTGGATTTGATCCGGAGAAACATTTTTATGTTCCAGATTCGGTTAGTATTAAATTTATCATTTATTTATTTCTTTCTTTCTTTATTTGTTATTTATTATCTATTTATCTATCTATTTATTTAATCTTATTTGATTATTTCTCTATTTATTTAATTCCAGGTTTATGATTTATATTCTCAATTCCGTGAAAAAGGTGCCAGAGCAGAATCTCGCTGGAATAAGCTTCTAGAGGATTATGGTATAGAATATCCTGAAGAAGTGAGTCTTTTTATATATATATATATATTTGTGTGTGCTTACTTTATTCTAATTGGTATTAATTGATAATCTTATTTGAATATTATTTTAGAGTGCTGAAATAAAACGTCGATTTGCTAACAAATTACCAGAAGATTGGACTGATCATTTACCACGTTATACTCCTTCCGATCCTTCAGTTGCCACTAGAAAATTATCTGAAAATGTCTTAAATAAAATTTGTGATGTTTTACCGGAATTAATTGGTGGTTCTGCAGATTTAACAGGATCCAATTTAACCAGATGGAAATCAGCTGGTGAATTTCAAGCTGATTCAACTGGTATAGGCACATATAGTGGTCGTTATATTAGATATGGTGTACGTGAACATGGAATGGCAGGTATGATGAATGGAATGACTGCTTACGGTGGTTTAATTCCATTCGGAGGAACATTCTTGAATTTTATTAGTTATGCGTTGGGTTCTGTTCGATTAGCAGCATTATCTTCATTCCGTGTGATTTATGTATTGACTCATGATTCGATTGGTTTAGGTATATGTCGAAAAAAAAGAAATGGTTCATTTTTGTTTGAATCGGTTGTATTGTGTCGTTCATGTTTAAATACTTAATTTATAATTATTTATAATTATTACAGGAGAGGATGGTCCAACCCATCAACCCATTGAAACTCTTGCCAGTCTTAGAGCATTACCTAATATTTTAGTTCTTCGTCCAGCAGATGGAAATGAAGTATCTGGTGCTTATTTAGCCGCAATCCAAAATTTGCAACGTCCTTCGGCAATTTCTCTTACTCGACAAAATGTTCCTCATTTAGAAGGTTCTTCAATTGAGAAAACTCTCTTAGGTGCATACGTTTTAAAGGAAGTTAAAGATGCCAACATCACTTTAGTAGCAACGGGATCCGAAGTTTCGATTATCGTTGATACCGCCAAATTATTAGAAAAAGAAGGAATCAAAGCACGAATTGTATCATTCCCATCATTTGAACTTTTCGATGAACAAAGTTTAGAATATAGGTTATCAGTCTTTCCTGATGGTATTCCAGTGTTAAGTGTGGAAGCTCTTTCAACTTTTGGATGGTTAAAATATGCACATGCGAATTTTGGTATGACAACTTTTGGAACATCTGGTCCCTATAAAGAAGTTTATCAAAAGTATGGATTCACTCCTGAAAATATTGCAGATAAGGCCAAAAAGACCATTGAATTTTATAAGGGTCATACACTTGTTTCAGTAGTTCAAAAACCATTCTAAAAACCGGATATTTTATTTTATAATTATATAAAATGGTTCTTTAAATATTTATATTTTTAAATGTTTCCTTTTTTTTTAAGTTATTTATAAAAAATGATGTACATAGAAAATTTAAAATTTCGAATGATTTTTTTAAAACAATAATAATAATAATAATAAATGTAAATTACTCTTTTTAATTAAATGTTAAAATTTGATATATTTTATTAAAAAATAAAATTTAAAAAATGAAATAAAAGTACAAGTGGAAGGAAAAAAAATGAAATGATTAATTTTCTACTAAATATATATTTTTTTTTAAAAAAAAAAAGAAACAATGCCAAATTTTAAACTTTCAGGAAAAAAAAAAAAAAGAAATATTCACTGAAAAGATATACAAAAGGTGGAAAATTTACATTTCTAAAAAAAAAAATAAAACTTTTTTACAAAAGATGGAATAAGTAGAATATATGTGTAGTAATACATAATGTAAATACAAGGAATAAAGGTATAGAAAAAAAAAAGGAATATAAAAGAGAAATATGAAATTAGGAGAATAAAGTACTTTTTAAGAAATCGATACAAGACAAACTAAATATGTGTAGATAATAATAGGTAAATAATAGATAAATGATAGATAAATAATAGATAAATGATAGATAAATGATAGATAAATAATAGATATATTATAGATAAATAATAGATAAATAATAGATAAATAATAGATATAAGGAAAATAAAGAAATTCTAGGAAGAAACTGTAATATTTTTTCGCCACACATTTGAAAATCTCATAGCAAATCTACTCATTCCACCACCACTACCAAATCTATTTCCACCAATACTATTTTTATTAAATGAAAATCTATTTGAATTATTATCTCTGGTTGAGTTATAATTTGAATCTAAGGTTGAATTATTATAATTATTATAATTTGACTTTAAATCAGAATTATAATTATACTCGGAATCTGAATTAAAATCAGAATTATAATCCGAATTATAATCTGAATTATCATCAGAATTATAATCAGAATTATAATTTGAATGATTATTATCATTATTAATTTTACTATTAATAACTTCATGAACTTTCATTAACATAGCCATTCCTTTAGTTTTCACATCGTTCACTCGTTGTTGAATAGGTGAAGATTCATAATATACGTTACCACTTTTATCTGTAATTAATATATTAAAAAATAGGCGTAAATATTACCAACACTCAAATACAGTAAATATTTAAATATGAAATAATCAAAGAATATATTTACTAGATTGATAATCGTCATCATCGGAATCCGATGCAGCATCAAAATCTTCACCATTTAAATTAGCTATTAAACGATGCTCACGTAATTCATATGCTTTTATCAATAAAATAGCGAGATCAATTTCTGGATAATTCTATTAATGGAATGGAATGGATAATATTAGGTAATGTTAACATTTGAATATTTTGCGTGAATGAAAAAAAAAAAAGAACGATTATAATAATTAAAAATAGAATAATTATTATTTACCTGTAATAACTTGACATTATCTGCAAAAGAACCGTCGAGTAATCTATCTTTTACACAACTATATTGAAATTACATATTTGAAAATATTTTGAATATTTAAAAATGGAATCTAAAAATTTCGATGAGATAATAAAATATAAAAAATACAAACATTAACATGGCACATGAAAAATCTATTAAAAATTCAAATCCACTGCTTGCTTCTTCAACATCATAATCAGAAAATATAGAATCCCAAAGACGAATGACATCCGGAAGTGCAAATTCTTGAGATAACATAACAGTCAACCAGCGGAATGAATAATAAGTAGGATGTAAAGCTTTTTGTTCCTATATATATATATATTTATATATATATTTATAAATTTATATTTATATTTATAATGATTATTAATGAGAATATTTATTTATGTATTATATCACGTGAGATATATTAAATATTTACCAAATCTTCCCATAATTCAGGTTCAAGAGCTTTTAAACGTCGATTCATTTTTTTCATGGTGTGTCCAATCCCAGTTGTACCGTCCATATCCAAACTTCTTACAAAATGATCTCTTACATGAGACATCATTAATGTAAATATGAAAAACGAATCGGCTTCGGCATTTGCTTTAAATATTTTATTTTATATATGTAATAAATTCATTAATTTTAAATTCAAAAATTTTTTTTCCATTAAATCTATTTATTATTATTATTATTATTATTACCTTTTCCATCTTCTTCACTGTCATTAGCCATTGTGAAGTATACCGGTCCAAGAATTTCATTCATTCCTTGAACGTATCCAACACCGGGATTTAATTTGGCATATATAAATAATATTCTTTCAATTGCTTCCCAATGTAAATCAACTTCTTCATCATTATCTTGTGTTGTTGTTGATTTATAACTTGATCCTGATGATGAATATCGTCTCATTTTAAAATCTTTATTTAAATGTTGTACACGTTTAAAGATTGATCTTCGAGTGGAAATAGGGGTCAAGGGAGTTGCCGGAGTCACGGGAAATGAAGATTCTATAGATGTTTCTAATTCTGAATAAAATTCAGAATTTGTATTATTTGATGAATCACTATAAATGGAATCATCATCATTGGAACTATTATTATCCAAATTATCTAATGATCTAATTCGATTAATTCTGTTTATGGTATCGTTTTGAGATGTAAATGGTTCAAGTTTAGGACTTGATATATTTGAAGGTGTACGAGAAACGGGTAATTGAAAGAATGAAAAGTCTGGTAATGTTCGTCTAACGTCTTTATCAATTTGTTCTAATATTATATTATCTGCGAAATATTCGTTCCACTTGGAATTTGGCTCAGAATTTAAAGGCTAAATTTAAATAATTAAAATTAATTAATTAATAATATTAGCCAAATGTAAATGTAAAGAAACATTTAACACCATTTGATATTAAATTCAAATATATAATAATAAAATACAATTATATTTACATGATCTACATGTTCGTCCGATTTAAATTCTTCGCCTGGATCTGACAACAAATCTTTAACAAAACTCTATAATAATAATAATAATAATAATAATAATAATAATAATAATAATGATAATGATAAATACAATTAAACATTATTCGTTAATTAATTATAATTAATTATAAAAGAATTATAAAGAATATTATATTTAAAATTAAACATTTTAACGTACACTATAAGTTGCTCTTTGTTCGGCGAGAACTTTTGTCCATTTTCTTTTATCTGGTGGTAAATAACCCAATAATATCTATACGAAGAGTGTAAAAAATATTATAATATAATAATATATATTTAAAACCGTATAATTTTTATAATTGTTGTGTATAATAAACCAACCTTCCAACTTTTTTGTCTTATTCCAGGTTTATCGGGAACGCCTTGTAAAAGAACAAAAATATAATAAAATATATAATAATATAATTAATAAGTTTATATATTTTTTAAATACAATATTTTTATTATCAAATTTCTTACCATGAAAGCATAAATGTCGAAATTTATATAGATCTATTGTAGGATGAGCTAAGTCGTCTGTACTTAGTATAGATTCAAACTGAGCGAGTCTAAATATGAAAAGTTCAAAAAAAATAAGTAAAAAACCAGTTTATTTTAAAGACTTGCTTATTATTACCACTATTATTATTTCTTTTTTAAAAAAAAATATTTCAAAATGGCTGTGTCGGCAAGTGTAACTACGAAAATGGAATTTGAACAAGTTTTTAAAGTTTATATTATATACCTTTCTTTATAATCCATTTATTTTGAAAGGTGGTTATGGTTTATTCTTTATACCTTTAGCTTCAAAATTACGTACTCAAATTCTTTAAAAAATTAATTATTTTACCGTGGGAACCATATAATAATAATAATACCATAGGAATATAATTTAGGTATTTATATAGGGAGTTCTTTTTTTGAAAGAAATATTGCTAAACTACAAACATGCGAATTTTATAACCCTTTAACCTTTTCAGTTAACTATAATAAATATTAAATTCAATTAAAGAATATATTAAAGAATATAGAAGAATATTGTACAGAATATTTGAATAATTACAATCTAATGAATTACAATGCAAATATGCAAATTCAATTTAGAATCTATTCAAATTTCCGGATTTCTCCAAAACAGTTATGTAAACAATAACAAGTTCTGATTGTAACGGATTTTTATAGACTGTTACGCCCTGAACTTTATTGATAAAATAATATAAACCTTGGATAATATGATAAATAATAATGTAATGTGAGTATGCGCAGAATGAAACATGATATACAGTTTGTTAAATTACGTAAATAAATGATTTTTGATTACCGTTAAACAGCAGATGTCGCAGATGTAGCAGATGTTAAAAAGCGTCATTTATCTTTACAAAAAAAAAATATTCCCAAGAAATTTGAAAGTATTATAAATTTTTATTTATTTCAATTTGAATATTTTAAACATTTATTATTTTTTCATTGTTCCCAGCTTTAAGTTAAAAATCCGTTTTTGTTCTGTTTTGATTGTATTATATTTGGTAATTATTTACAAAATCTCATGTGAAAAATTAATTTCTAAAAATTCATATCAAAAATGAATGCTGTTGCGTCCATGATTTGTTATTAAAATTAACAAATCATTTTTCTAATGCTATCACAAAATTTAAAATAAAATAATAAAATAAAATATTTTATTTCTCAGTAAAATTAAAAAAGCCAATTATGGTTCTACATATCAATTAATAAGAATTCTAAAAAAAATCGGTAGCTTCAGATAATTCTTTAATCAAAGGTCAACTATCAATTTTAACAAGATTTTTCACTAAGATAATCGAAAAATATATTTTAACTTTCCGGGTGAGGGTTAAAACATCACTTACATTAATACGTTGAAACTCCGTCTGCCAATCACCTTTTTCGTGTGGAACATTAATAATTAATTGTTCAACCCAAACGCAAGAATACAAGTCGTCTTGAGAGAACATATTTTACATTAATTTAAGTTTAGTTTGAGTTCATCAGAACATCTTGATTTTTCCCAATCTTGGCTAGCATAATTTTCCAGTGTCACTTTTGTGATATCTTTAACCGTCAACATTTCTGTTAAGATTATTTCTATTGTTTATTATGGAATTCCCATTCCAATCTTAGATTCTGGTATCCATTTTTGAAATATAATCCGAAACCTTTTGTGGTTGGACAGTAGAAGATCTCGTGATATGCTCTATGTTACTCGTAAGTTACCCATAATTTTGTTTTGCTTTCTAATATCACTAATAAAAATTAAATGATTAAATTTCATTATGTGATATCTCTTGAAATACTCACCTATATTTAATGTTTAGTCTGTCATCTGTCAGCATATGTATTCATATGTACGTATTCCAACAAATAGATCGAATTTTAATTTGATCTATCACTTTCTTTATTTGTATTCCTTCAAAATTGGTCAAATAATAATTGCACGAATAAGAAATTTAAGATTGTAATCAAAAGGTAACAATAATAATAATAATGAGGAATTAGTACTTGAAACTCAAGGATCGGTTTATTATTCAGAAACAAATCCAACTTCATATATTCTTTGGAGAGTTATAGAATCAAGTCGAGTATTAGAATTAAGACAATTTTTAATTCTCTCACAATTAATTAACCAATGTATCTTCGGGAATATTATATCGATTGATTTACCATTTTTAATAATAAAAAGAATGTATTGTATTAATTTTGATAATTAGTTCTTGAAGAATATAAGATAAGAGATTGACCCCAACAATCAAAACTGATGCAATAAACTTAAGCTCAGGTGTCAATTTCATATCAATGATATATCAGAAAAAAAAAAAAGTTTAAAAATTAAATTCTTTACTCCAAAAATTATTCAGCACATTCGTGGGAATATTTTTCCATCTCACTTTATTACCTATCAGTTCCTTCAGTCTCCAAATCTTACACTGAAAAATTCGAGACCTAACTTATTTTCAATCACTACTTTTGACAAACTCTTCAATCTCCCAAAGAACCTAATTTGTTCATGTATTATTAAATTCAAGTTTTCAACACATTTTCATTATTTGTAAACTTCCATAATTGTGTGGGTCTTATTTTTGCTAGTACATCGAGGATCTCATATATGCTTGGTATCAGAACAGATGTAATGAACGACGTCCCTTCAATGAAACTTTAGAAAAAGGTATTCGACCTAAAATTGAAATTCCATCTCTAGTTGATGCAACCAGATGAAGATCAATCATTTTATCACATGGTCTGTGGTGAACATGGAACTGGGAAGACAACATTATTTAAAATTGTATCAAGAGAAGTTGGGCCGGGTGTCATATATGTTAAAATTCCTCCAAAATCAAATCTTATATATTTTGAACAAGCTCTAGACAAGAACTCACGTTAAGAAAAATACCCTTTCCAATATAAAGTATATTCCCAAATACAATTTAAGAGTGGGATGTAATATACCTAACAAATTACAGTAATAACTTGATGTAGAGATGTTTAATTTTGATGAAATAATTATCAAAATGTTTGTCTCAATAAGAAAATCTAATGAGCTATATAGGTTAGTGAAGTCAAATTGAGTTTTTTTTTATAAGGTCATCTGATATAATATTTCATCTAGTCATAAAGTACTTATCACATGTTAATCACAATTTATACAGTTGTAGAACAGGATAAGAATCATGTTTCATGTTATTATAAATGAATCACTATTTTTTTATTTTTTTTTAAGTTAAAACTTATGTCTTCTTATAGTTGCTTGATAAAACTATGAAGTTTAAACAATGATAAAAGTCAAAATATATTTAGACATTTAGATTCTCAAATGTTGAAACTGACAAAAAGTTTAGACAATGTCAAACTTTAAAAACTTTATATAATTTTTTATAAAGTTATTATTTACTATTATAAAACTTGCTTTTTTGTTATTTTGACAGAAAAATATGAAAGTATTTTTTTTTTACATTGGTATTAAAAAAAGAATAAATCTTTGTAATTAATTTCAAATTTTAAATATCTAATTGAATACATTTGATATTTGTCAATTAAGTAAAAAAAAGTTTTACTCATATAATATACTATTTAAAATAATAACTAAAATTTTAAAAGTTAATTTTTAAAGATAATCAAATTTAAGTTCAATTATATTTTATTAATTAATTAAAATATTATACTTATACTAGTCAAATAATTAAAAATTGATAAATTTTTTAACAATTCATGCTATAAAATCAGTTAACAATCTGCAAACCACCTAAAAATTGACTAAAATTAACTGTTTGATTTTTAAATTAGCTATTTGATTTTTTAATAATAAATATAAAAAAATCAATATTTTTATTTTTTTTATTAATAAAATATTGAAAATGTTATTAAGTAAATTTTTATTAAAAAAGAAAATACCTACTGAAAAAATTTTAATTCTAAAGCTCATAAATTAAAGAAAAGATAAATATTTAAATTTTAAATATCTGTTCAAAATTTAAAGACTTACTTCTCCTTTAATTTATAAGATTTAGATTTAAACTTTTTTTAATATATGTATTTTTTTCTTAGCTATAGGTTTACTTAATAATATTTTTACATTTTAGTTATAAAATTAAAAATTTTTATATGCAGTTACAATTGCTGATTATAATTTTTTTTTTTATAATTTTAATAAGGTCTTGTCTCAAATTTATTAATTAAAAAAAAAAGTCTCTTACATTACTATTATATAATATAAAATATATCACTTATTCTAATAATTATTTAAAATATAAGACTTAAAACTAATACTAGTCAAATACAAAAAAATTATTGTATTAAATAATTATTTTTATATTATAGATCAGTTAAAAATAAAAAAAAAATTAATTATCCTATTGTACCCATAGGTCTAAAATTAAATTTTGAGTTCAAATCAGGTACTTATCAAATACTTGATAATTGTGTTGAATTTCAGATATTCAATAGGTTGATAATATAAAATTTTAAATTTACTATTATCATAACTACATATAAAAGTTTTTAATTTTATAATTAAATCATTAGTATATTACTAAATAATTTTGTAAATAATAAATATGTATATTAACTATAAAAATATTAACTTCATATCATTAAAATTGAGAAAATTATAAATGTTTTAATTTGTATAGCTGTTTAAAATTTATCACTTATAATTTTCTTAATTTTAAAGAACTAGATCTAATATTTTTACAGTCAATATATATTTTTATTGTATATAAGTTTACTTAGTAATATTTTATGATTAGATTATATAATAAACTACTATTGTAATTATTTTTGATTTTATAAAAATATAATTATTAGATATAATTTATTAAAATATAAAATCAGAAATAATTTATAATTATAGTTATATATAAAGTTTTTAATTATATAAAAATATTAATTAATAGTCATATCAGAAATCTGTATAGGATATTAATTTTAATTATAAGATCAACATCTGTATCAATCACTTTTTGTAAAATGATTTTTAGTTAAAATAAAAATAATATATAATAATGTATATTTAAATTACTTCAAAATTATAATATATTGATTTTTATAAAGATTAAATAATTATTAATAATTTTTACTATAAATAATTAAAATGAAAAGTAAAAATTATATATATTCTATAACAATTTTTTATTTTTATTTATTTTTATTTATTTAATCAGTACTATCTTTTAAACTGTAAATAATTTCAGACAAATTTATCTACAAATTTTTTTTTAAATATATTACATATGAAAATTAATGGAGATAAAAATTTATGTAATAAAATTTTTATCATAAATTATTATTTATCAAATATATGTGATTCTATCTAATACTTTTAAATTACTATATAAAAGTTACATGAAATTTATATTTAAAAATTAACTATTTTTTAATAAAATATTGATTTTATAAAAATTTATTCTATAATTTTAATTATTTTATTAAAAATTAATCAGAACTACAAGAAAACTTAATGAAAAATATAAATTTTATTATTTAGAATACCTTTAATTATTATTATATTTAAGGTTATAAACTAGTATTTTGATTTTAAATAAGAGCAAAATATATAATAAAATTATTAAAAAATATTGGTTTATATTTTTTATATATAAAAGTATTTTTATAACTTAGTATTATTCATAAGTAAAAAAATACTTTTATTTGTAGTTATGATTAACTGACATGTTAAATTAATTATATTTGATCTCAAGAATTTTTTTATATCAGTCAATCGTGATTACATATAAAAATATTTTTTTATCTATTGATTATTAAAAATAATACTAAGTAACTTTATTCTAAAGAATATAATATATCTACTGTAAAAGCTTAAGATTTTTAAAAAATAAATTAGATGAATAATTAATGATTTTATAATAAAAATACCAATTATTTATTCAATTTGTATTTTAAAAATTTCAAATTTTTACAATAGATATATTATCTTCTTTAGAATAAGATTACTTAATATTATTCTTAATAATTTGTAAACAAAAAAATACTCTTATATATAGAATTAATTGATATAAAAAAAATTCTTGAAATCAAATACAATTAATTTAACATGTCAGTTGATTATAGTTACAAATAAAAATATTTTTTTACTTATGAATCATTAAAAATAATATTAAGTAATCTTATTCTAGAGAACATAGTATATCTACTGTAAAAGTTTAAGATTTTAAAATATAAATTGAATAAATAATTAATGATTTTATTTTGAAATCATTAATTACTTATTCAATTTATTTTTTAAAAGTTTAAAACTTTTATAACAGATGCAACATATTCTTTAGAATAAATTTACTTAGTATTATTTTGAATAGTTTATAAGTCATAAAAATACTTTTATATGTAACTACAATAAAGTAGAATAGGTTAATATGTTAGTTAATCGTAGTTATATATAAAAGTATTTTTATGGCTTACGTATTATCTACAATAATACAAATAACTTTATCCTAAAAAATGTAAT